AAAACAGGAACAATGAAGACGGGTACGAGTAACGCTAGCCCTCCGTAGCAAACGCATCCTGGCAACAGCGAAGTCATTCACAAATTACACAGATCCTCTGAGCATTTGGTGATGATTCTCTGGGGCGGGGGTGGGGGTGGAGAGGGCTCTTCCATTCCCCGTTTCTCCCCCCCCCCCATGCCTTGCCTTGTGGATGAGCTCTCAGTGTGCCAGTCTTAACATCTTGTACCCAAGATCTCTGGAGGGGGGTGGAGAATTCCTAAGGGATTACCCCACATAATAGAAGATTGCAGCCTTTGATTGTTCTGATTAGACCAAACCACAGGCAGATAGCGGGAGGGACCAAGGTACATCTGGGGGGGTGGGGTGGGGGGAGTGGAAATGCACAAAAAGTGGAAAGATTCAGAGAGAACCAACCTCTACCAACTCTATCGCACTCGAGAGAGAGAGAGAGAGAGAGGGAGGGAGAGGGAGAGCTAGAAAGAGAAAGTGAGTGTTGTTTTTTTAAAATCAGTTATTGCCAAATGCCTAAAAATCAATCACAAAAGGACTGGAGGAAAATCCCTGTTTAAAAGCTCCATCAACACTTTTGGCCTATACATGCCTTCAAAAGATACTGCTTTCAACAGAATGCACGTACTTCTATCCCTGTTTGGCTCAATGTCAATCTTTATTGTTTCTCTAGTAAAATATTGACCAAGGTAAATATTTGCTCCTCTGATCATTCAAGTCTTGGTATTGACCTCCAGCTCAGCTAGTTTCTGTCTCTTTCTTCTAGAAATCTCTGAGGATAAGAGCTCCAGGGGAGGGGAGCGGAGGGGAGGGCGGCTTGGCCAGCCTGCGGGGGGGGGGCTACCCACTCCCTGCCCCTCACCATGCCTGCTCTGCCCAAGGGAGCATGCTGTGGCAGTGGTGGGGGGGCACAGAAGCCCTCTTCTTGCTGCTTCCCAGGGAAGGCAATGCCAGTCGGCGGATCAAATCCGGCTGGCAGAGAAATGCCCACTGGGCGGCCGCCCTTGGCACTTTTACCCGTGGGTGGAGGCAGGGAGGGAGGAGAGTCCCGGCTGCCAGTAACCCCCAAACTGGGAAGAAAAGGGAAAAGGCTGTGCTCTCCTCTCCACCTCCACTGCACTTCTGCCACTTTGCAGTCAGACGGCCCCCAAGTTCAGATCCAGCTGCTTCTTGTTCCACTCTTGATCTGGCAGAGCACAGGAACCATTCCGTTTTTTGGACTGCAATTCCCAGAATCCCTCATGGCCAAAGGAAACCCACCCTCTAGGTATAAACACTTTGAAATGTGGCACCCCCCCCCCAGTATGGGCTGGCTGGAGGCTGCCCCTGGCCCTGGTGGCTGCTGCCCCCTTTCCCTGCAGCCCCAGAGGGTCCTATCGTCCCACCACCCCAGAGAGCAGGGTCGCAGATCCCTCACCACGCCACTGGCTCGCAGGGTCTGCACGGATCTCCTTTCCTTTTTAATAAAAACAGTGGAAACTCAAGGTAGAAACGAGATTTAGAGATGACCTGCCACTGGAGCTGAAAGCCTATTTATCGGTGCTGGAGAGACACCATTCAGGCAGACTCCCATGTCTGAGAAATCAGATTTGGAAAGAATCCCATGCTGGAGACAAATCACAGAACAAAGAAAGCAAATGGCCTGAGGTGGGAAGAGCTCCTGCAATGGGCTCAGATGCTTTCTAGGTTTAAGGAATTCCACCTTCTACTGAAAGGTTATCTAAAATGCTGGATTCTGTCCTCTTGTTCTAATAGGGAAATTGTTCTCTACATCATTGTGCATGTCATTGACATACCAGGAAATAAACAGCAACAATAGATAAAGATGCATTTATCCTGCCTTTCCTTTTCCTTTCCTTTCCTTTCCTTTTCCTTTCCAGTGTTGAAATCCCTTGCCTTTTTCCAGGCTAGCAGGGAACACTCATGGCAGAGTGGTCCCAAAAGACTCCCAATTCATGCTGAAGTTTTTCGGAATATGAGATGCTGTCCAACGTGAAACGTTAGAGGGTGGAAGGAACTATGTCCCTCTCTTAACAGTGGTTTTAGCAACCATCCTTCCCTCAGCCTTGTGCCCATTGGCTGGGCGGCACTGAATGTTCCCCAGCTGGCAGGGTCATATTGGCTGGGGATTATGGGTCTTGTACCCCCCACAGCCTCTTTAAGACTTCAGGTTGGGCAAAGCGGTCATAGGCACCACTCAACATGTATTGATGCCCATTGTATCTGGCTGCCCATGGGAATGCTTACAGGCAAGAGAAAGACCCCCTCTTTGGGTGGGGGGGGCAGCTAACCCAAAGCAGAGGCAGCAGGATTTGGACTAACCAAACTGGTACTTCGGGAAAGGATGTTTGGCCCACAAGAGGCATGCTTTATTTTTTGTTTGTCATAAAACCAACCATGTGGACAAAGAACCAACAGGAGGGAATCCTTCCTTGAAGCCAGTGGGTGATTCCGGAGATCATGGATCGCCACCCCCAAAACACAGCTGGCATGATGTCAGCCCTGCCCTCTGGCATTGCTCCGCTCCACGGAAAAAAGTCTTTCCAAAGTCTTTTCTTTTTACACAGAGAGGGAGTGCACCAGGCGGTGCTCCACGGACAAAAGTCTTCCCAAAAGGGTTTTACACAGAGAGGGAGTGCACCAGGCGGGAAATCGCCCTTCACTCCATTCTCACAGGTAATGACAGAATACTTCAAAGGCTTTTACCCCCAATGGATGTGACAACAAGAGTTTTTCAGCAAACATTACGAAGTCCATTTTATGCAAAAGGGAAAAATATATTTCGTACAAAATATGATGTTTTCCCCCCAAAAGAAAAGGTATTTTTCCTTTCAAGCCAGATCAGTGAACAATTTTTTTCAGCAGAGTATTCCCATGTGTGTTGAGACATAATGCACCTTTTTCACTGGGGGTGTAAAAACTGCCAAGTCCTGTTCGTTGGACACCCTCCTGGGGTCCTCCGAGACCGGCAACCCAGGAGAAGGGTCTGCCCTGGTGCCGTTCTGCAGCCCCATCCCGGCAGCCGACGGGCTTTTCTAGAGAAACAGCCCAGCGTGGGAGGTGTTCACCTCCACTCCTACCTGTGATAGCTACGTGATCACTTCCTCGTGAAAGTGCTGGGAACCTGAGCCCTCTGTACATGATCTCATCCTTGTTGGCAGGGCTCCAAGAAGGGCCGGCTCCCTCCGACAAACGGGCCCAGGTTCCACCTCGGACTGATGCACAGAAGGGACGAGCAGGGAGGCCATCAGAAACCCAAGCGGAGGGCTCAGGGGAAGGCTGGCCTTAGGCTTGGTCACCCGGACAGGCAACCGGCAGGACACCTTTCAGGCACTTCCAAGCAACCTTCTCTTGGCACCAGGCCCTCGGGAGGGGNGGGGGGGGGGGGGAGAGCTGTCTTCTCCCTCCTCCCTCCCTCCCACCCCACAACAGCTGAAAACATGGAGAAGCAGTCCGAGGACAAAGCGGATCCGGTCTATTGCGCCGCGGTCTGGCCTGCGTTGCTTGGCCCAGTTTACGAGGAAACAAAGAACGAATGTCCAGAACAGCTTCTTGCTCACACAACTTTCCAGTCAAGCCCAGGGTTGGAGACATTTTTGTTGTTGTTGCTGTTGTTGTCGTCGTTGTTGGCCAACAAATATAAAAACCAAGGCTGCATCATTTGTATTGGAGCAGCAAAGCAAAATAGAAAG